CTAAGTAGGTAAGTCAGTCTTAATCATTTATACTCAACAGGCATGTATCCTATTTTTAAACAAATCCTATCTAGGCCATATTTCCGTCACGCTATATAAACCCGTAACCATTCAATAACCATTAATAAATATTACTGTCATGAATGCATTATTCTCTTGCCTGATTATGATATGGGCAGCTGAAGGACTATTTTGGGTATACACAAGACAGACAGACGGTATTCATGGAACCTGTTTTTTTTTTTGTATTCATCGCATACTGAGGTTAGAAAGAAGTGTATTTACACGATCACATACTTTTGTATACGAAGCATGTAACGTATCATTCATAAGGAGTAATACAATTACGTCACACATCTGCGGTAACCATACTCATTATTATACTATCTGATTTTCATGAAACTTTCTGAAGCTTGCTTCATGAAAACTACACTACATGAAATGGGAACTCGTGAGAGAGTCTGTATATATGTAGTTCTCAGTATCGTGTTTCATAAAATCAAACAGAATCACAACTCTCTGAAACTCTCTGATTCCAGCTTCATAAAACATATCTTCAATTAGAACTCGTGTGAGATTTCTTATGCATGCAAAAAGTCATGGGTATTTGTTAGAAGAAACTATCTTGATCCCGTTTAATAAACTTAATATAGAGTCTGAATTCTCTGAGGATAGCTTTTTAATTATCAGATGGGGTGAGAACTCGTGTGCGTTTCTTTATGTATGTAAAATGTAATAGTATTTGTATTGTAGAATTGCTTAAGGAATGCTTTGTTCTATATTGTCATAATTTACGTGTGTCAACTTTCTATGTAAATAATCCTTCATTATATTTCTTTTGATATGTATGGCAGGTATAACCTGCCCGTGGTTCGTCTGTAGGTGATTTGGTTTCCTGTGGCACTTCAGATTCTTCCAGTGCTGTCCGCCATTGATACATTTGTTACTTTGTGACTTTATTTCTGCCATAGAAAGCCGCTTATCATATGAGGCTTTGTAAAATCTCCGTGTTCTACAAAATTATATAAAATGAACAATGATGCATGATGTTGTCCTGTGTAATATAAGTGAGAACTCGACATCGAATCTCTTATGAATATATGCAAGTTTAAAAAGTTGATTAGTTTTACGTAGCAGCTAACATTTCATGCTTAACGATAGCGTCCCTGAATGACGAGCTAACGTAAGGGCATCTGTTGAGGAGTAACATTTCTTTACCTAGGCAATGTAATTTCAATAAAACCTTAATAAGTACACTGACAAACCACTTGACTACTCAACAGCTTCTCGGATAGTATTTTCTATGGCATACATGACTTTATAAATGATTAACATTGGTAAAGGGACATAACTTGGAAAGTTATTCAAATAAAAAGTTCAGTGTGTTTACCATTTGTTAAAAAATGTAGTATTCAGTCATTCACTATGAAATAAACCTTGTTATAGCGGTATTCTATTTACATTGGTGACCCACTGGTGTAACAGATGGAATTTGAACTTTCTCCCTCTTAGTATGTGTACCGGACCAGATGATTTATCTACTTTACCTTGGGGGAGGTTAGCACTCATACCGTGTTAAGGACTTTTGTATGTGTTTTAAAATTCAACTTGAGTTATGTAGATCAAGGAGATTTATTTTCCTATTGTTATAACAGGAGGCATATATATAGCAATGACGTCAGGGGTGGTGGATACGGAACCATTACCTTGGATATCACTACTGTACTCATGAAATCCATTAACATGCTCATAGAATATGTTATTCAGCCTCATGTGTTACCATTATATCCGTTGTATATTAACGTTTAGGTAAAATCACGTTCAGGTTTTATGAGCTACTTGTGTAAATAACTATGTGATTCCTAATTATGAAGACAGAAAAATAGTTTACCTATTATATTGGGTAGACGTCAGCCAATCAAATTCCACCAGATAAAGCAAGTTCAGCAAACGTATAACTATTTTTTATATACTTTTGAATTAGGACATGTCGGATAGAGAGATAACTCGAAGCTTCGCAGCTCGCTGACACCTCAGAAAAAAGACTGTTAACTGATAAGGCATGAAACAAATGTTAAATATTTATAATCGGTACAGAGACGATACAGACACCAACAGTGTCAATGATGTTTTGTAGATATGTATGTACCTACTTAATTGAACACGCGATGTTGTGTAGTATGACGTAAGCAGAAAAAAAGTACATTTTATAATAGCTTTATAGCAGAGAGCAAGGTAGGAGATCCGTTCTGCTTTGCTTACTGAACATTGTGTATACTCAACCTAAGTAGGTAAGTCAGTCTTAATCATTTATACTCAACAGGCATGTATCCTATTTTTAAACAAATCCTATCTAGGCCATATTTCCGTCACGCTATATAAACCCGTAACCATTCAATAACCATTAATAAATATTACTGTCATGAATGCATTATTCTCTTGCCTGATTATGATATGGGCAGCTGAAGGACTATTTTGGGTATACACAAGACAGACAGACGGTATTCATGGAACCTGTTTTTTTTTTTGTATTCATCGCATACTGAGGTTAGAAAGAAGTGTATTTACACGATCACATACTTTTGTATACGAAGCATGTAACGTATCATTCATAAGGAGTAATACAATTACGTCACACATCTGCGGTAACCATACTCATTATTATACTATCTGATTTTCATGAAACTTTCTGAAGCTTGCTTCATGAAAACTACACTACATGAAATGGGAACTCGTGAGAGAGTCTGTATATATGTAGTTCTCAGTATCGTGTTTCATAAAATCAAACAGAATCACAACTCTCTGAAACTCTCTGATTCCAGCTTCATAAAACATATCTTCAATTAGAACTCGTGTGAGATTTCTTATGCATGCAAAAAGTCATGGGTATTTGTTAGAAGAAACTATCTTGATCCCGTTTAATAAACTTAATATAGAGTCTGAATTCTCTGAGGATAGCTTTTTAATTATCAGATGGGGTGAGAACTCGTGTGCGTTTCTTTATGTATGTAAAATGTAATAGTATTTGTATTGTAGAATTGCTTAAGGAATGCTTTGTTCTATATTGTCATAATTTACGTGTGTCAACTTTCTATGTAAATAATCCTTCATTATATTTCTTTTGATATGTATGGCAGGTATAACCTGCCCGTGGTTCGTCTGTAGGTGATTTGGTTTCCTGTGGCACTTCAGATTCTTCCAGTGCTGTCCGCCATTGATACATTTGTTACTTTGTGACTTTATTTCTGCCATAGAAAGCCGCTTATCATATGAGGCTTTGTAAAATCTCCGTGTTCTACAAAATTATATAAAATGAACAATGATGCATGATGTTGTCCTGTGTAATATAAGTGAGAACTCGACATCGAATCTCTTATGAATATATGCAAGTTTAAAAAGTTGATTAGTTTTACGTAGCAGCTAACATTTCATGCTTAACGATAGCGTCCCTGAATGACGAGCTAACGTAAGGGCATCTGTTGAGGAGTAACATTTCTTTACCTAGGCAATGTAATTTCAATAAAACCTTAATAAGTACACTGACAAACCACTTGACTACTCAACAGCTTCTCGGATAGTATTTTCTATGGCATACATGACTTTATAAATGATTAACATTGGTAAAGGGACATAACTTGGAAAGTTATTCAAATAAAAAGTTCAGTGTGTTTACCATTTGTTAAAAAATGTAGTATTCAGTCATTCACTATGAAATAAACCTTGTTATAGCGGTATTCTATTTACATTTGTGACCCACTGGTGTAACCGATGGAATTTGAACTTTCTCCCTCTTAGTATGTGTACCGGACCAGATGATTTATCTACTTTACCTTGGGGGAGGTTAGCACTCATACCGTGTTAAGGACTTTTGTATGTGTTTTAAAATTCAACGTGAGTTATGTAGATCAAGAAGATTTATTCTCCTATTGTTATAACCGGAGGCATATATATAGCAATGACGTCAGGGGTGGTGGATACGCAACCATTACCTTGGATATCACTACTGTACTCATGAAATCCATTAACATGCTCATAAATAATGTTATTCAGACTCATGTGTTGCCATTACATCCGTTATATATTAACGTTTAGGTAAAATCACGTTTAGGTTTTATGAGCTACTTGAGTAAATAACTATGTGATTCCTAATAATGAAGACAGAAAAGTAGTTTACCTATTATATAGGGTAGACGTCAGCCAATCAATTCAACCAGATAAAGCAAGTTCAGCAAACGTATCACTATTTTTTATACTTTTGATATAGGAAATGTCAGATAGAGAGATAACTCGAAGCTTCGCAGCTCGCTGACACCTCAGAAAAAAGACTGTTAACGGATAAGTCATGAAACAAATGTTAAATATTTATAATCGGTACAGAGACAATACAGACACCAACAGTGTCAATGATGTTTTGTAGGTATGTATGTACCTACTTAATTGAACACGCGATGTTGTGTAGCATGACGTAAGCAGAAAAAGTACATTTTATAATAGCTTTATAGGAGAGAGCAAGGTAGGAGATCCGTTCTGCTTTGCTTACTGAACATTGTGTATACTCAACCTAAGTAGGTAAGTCAGTCTTAATCATTTATACTCAACAGGCATGTATCCTATTTTTAATTAATCCTATCTAGGCCATATCTCCATCACGCTATATAAACTCGTAACCATTCAATAACCATTAATAAATATTACTGTCATGAATGCATTATTCTCTGGCCTGATTATGATATGGGCAGTTGAAGGACTATTTTGGGTATACACAAGACAGACAGACGGTATTCATGAAACCTGGTTTTTTTTTGTATTCATCGCATACTGAGGTTAGAATGAAGTGTATTTACACGATCACATACTTTTGTATATGAAGCATGTAACGTATCATTCATAAGGAGTAATACAATTACGTCACACATCTGCGGTAACCAAACTCATTATTATACTATCTGATTTTCATGAAACTTTCTTAAGCTTGCTTCATGAAAACTACACTACATGAAATGGGAACTCGTGAGAGAGTCTGTATATATGTAGTTCTCAGTATCGCGTTTCATAAATCAAACAGAATCAGAACTCTCTGAAACTCTCTGATTCCAGCTTCATAAAAAATATCTTCAATTAGAACTCGTGTGCGAATTCTTATGCATGCAAAAAGTTATGGGTATTTGTTATAAGAAACTTTCTTGATCTCGCTTAATAAACATAATACAGAATGTGAATTCTCTGATGATAGCTTTTTAATTATCAGATTGGTTGATAACTCGTGTTNTCCACTCGGACACCGTAACGCTACACTGGCATGGCCTACCTCAACAGGGTACACCCTGGATGGATGGAGTCGCCTTCATTACACAATGTCCCATTCTGCCAGGTCAAAGGTTCACCTATGACTTTATTGCTCGACCTAAAGGGACATATTGGTATCACTCACATGTTGGAACACAACGGACAAAGGGCCTCTATGGAGCTTTGGTGGTTCGAGACCGAAACGATAACATGGCTGAGCATAACATAGTGGTTCAAGGATGGAATCACCACTGGTCTGCAGATATGGATCAATTGAAATATGAAATGGGTGGAATTTATGAAGATCGCGTGAAACGGAAAAATTCCTACTTATTTGATGGGGACTTTTTCGCGAATGTTCTTCTGACTTCAGCAATCATAAATGGTCGAGGGCGTCACTACAGTAACGGTACTACTGAGGAGCACAACAGTGCCCCTCTCAGCATATTCAGGGTCCAACAGGGCCAGATGTACAAGTTTAGAGTTATAAATGCAGACAATCTCTATCCATTCCGAGTGTCAGTCGACAATCACAATATCAGTGTCGTGGCCACAGATGGATATGATATTCAGCCTGTTCTGGCCGAGTCCGTCATCCTCCACTCCGGTGAACGTTACGACTTTGTATTGACAGCAGATCAAGCTGTTGGGAACTACTGGATCAGAGCACAGTCTCTAGAGGTTGAAGAGGACCGACTCCATAGGGCAGACGCTATATTAAGGTATATGGACGCACCAGAAGTCGAACCTACCAGTTCCTCGCGTACTTGTTCTGGTAATAGCAGATGTCTCGTCATCAACTGTCCTTTCCTGTACTATCCTGAAAACTTTTTTATAGACTGTCTCTCAGTTGATAAACTTACAGCTTTAGTTGACAAGGATCCTGCGCCTGTGGCGTCTGAAGGTCACTTAAAGGAGTATTTCCTCAATTTTGCTTTCCCTGGTGTAAATGGATTCGGTCCTGCCTCTGTAAATGGACGGAAACTGAAACTGCCATCAGTGTCGGCACTTACACAGCCACGCGAGATAGAATCAACTTGTGACCTTGCAGATTGTGGCGAGGAGAAGGAATGTGAGTGTACTCAAGCGTTGTCATTGGACTTTGGTGATGTCGTACAGTTAGTTCTTGTCAGCATGGGTAAAGGTACCGGGGGTTTTCATCCCGTTCACCTCCACGGATATTCATTTTACGTTCTTAAAGTTGGTTTTGGTATTTACAACAACAAGACCGGACGCTATATTAGTCCAGCCGCCGACGATATCAACTGCAGAGGTTACGGTAATTATACAACTAGTTTTTGTAACGCAGCAACATGGAGGAACCAATCCTGGAGCGGGGGTAACATCCCGGATGTAAACCTTTTAAATCCTCCTCGGAAGGACACAATATCTGTCCCTGCTGGCGGTTATGTGGTTATTAGGATTAAGGTCGACAATCCTGGACTCTGGATTGTTCATTGTCATATGCAGGTTCACAACATCGAAGGCATGGCTGTACTCCTAAACAGCTCTTTTGACAGGATTCCAAAGCCACCTCAGCACTTTCCGATCTGCCATAACTTCCCACCTACAAGCAGAGCTGAGGTGTTGCCGACAACAACATACACTGTGATGAAACAGGAGATTGATGCATGTAGTAGACAGTCAGAAGACTTTGGTAAGTACATATAAAAGGCGCACCACAATAAATATTTCCCTACCCTGGCGTCGCTAAATGTGCATATTAGTTCTGACTCCTTAGGTTATTAAAAGTTATTAGATGTTATAATTAAGTAACATAAATATGAATGATAATGCATATAAAATTTGATTTTGTTGCAAAGACAAAGGAATATGAAAACTCGCCATTTTTTCAGGTTCTGCTTTTAAATTGAATATGTGCTGTTGTAGAGAGGTCTTATCATAACAATAATTGTCATATACGACTGGTGTTTTTGGCTAGTTCATTACTTTAGGTGTAAAATGCAAGCTAAATAGAGGATACTTCATGAAAATTCAACCTTCTTACCTTACTGAAGACATTATCCACATGTTTTGTATATAATAGACGCGTAAACTATTTATTAGACATAAAACCCCTAGGGTACAGTATGTTGCTTCAAATTGCAGCAAAGACCCAAATTACCCCACTCCTCGGGTAGAATATCCATATCTCATATAACAGATTTTATCAGTTGTTTAATAGGCTGGACACGAAACTTTTTATTTACAGACGGCTGGTATACAATGAAAACCTACAGGATTACGGTGACAGTTCTGGGACTCGTGATGTTGTTTATGGTGGCCTACATCCTCCATCTACGTAAAATCGTCAAGTCTGATGGTCAAGCAAAGGAGTCTCAATAACCGCAGACATATACAGTGTCAGAAGTGAAAAACCATCATATATAAATCCTTCGTTTCAGTAAAGACATTGGCAACCTTTATCATTGTAAATTTCACACGATTTAAATGTTGTTCNAATAGTATTTGTATTGTAGAATTGCTTAAGGAATGCTTTGTTCTATTTTGTCAATAAAACTTACGTGTGTCAACTTTCTATGTAAAACGCTTTATTTTGATGATCTTTAGAATTATGTTACAAAATGAACTCACATAATTGAACATCGCCATCACTCAGACTGCTTGGCTAGTGTCTTATACTGTCTGCCGTACATCGTTCGATCAATATCAGAGGATAAATATAATTTTTGACACAAGTTTACCATACCCTTCATTGCAGTTTGTAGTTATGAGAATATTTCTCCTACATGTTCATATACATATAAAGCAAAGTACAATGGTACTCGCTACCTTTTCAGTAAAAGGTATTCATTTTACAATGTGACTGTGTATGTTGTGTGGAAATAGTCGATAGAAAGTTCTAAGCTACCAATGTCAGTGATAGATTTTTATTTTTTTTATGTATCACAGAGTATAGAGTTCATAACAACAGGTTACTGTGAAACGCAGAAAATACAATCTAACAGTTTGCTTATTGGGTGGAAACAGTCGATTTTAGTTCTCAACTACCAATGCAGTGATATTTTTTTAAATTTTTTTATGTAGCTCAAATCACAGAGTTTAAAACCAAGGTCACTGTGAAACGTAGAAAATAATAATAACCAGCGTCTCTCCTACCATCTACGCCTCAGTGTTACCATACATTACAACTGTAGATCCATCTCTCCTATCATCTACGCCTCAGTGTTACCATACATTACAACTGTAGATCCGTCTCTCCTACCATCTACGCCTCAGTGTTACCATACATTACAACTGTAAATCAATGCTGTTGTATTCATTTTTCATTCATACATGCGCTGTAAGAGTATCATTACCTTACCATGTCTCTTTGCAAGAAAATCACATCTTTATCTAAATGTCTACAGTGTAACACATATAATATCTATCTCAGGACATTATCGTCTCATACATTATGGTGATGTTTTATGTCTCCATATTTCATATGTTATATTCATATAATTTTATCCCACCTATCACAGTTTCATATCTGTTTTAACCCGGAAACAATGAAATGATCACCACCTAGAGAGAGTTGTCTCGTGCAGGTAACAACGCGCTCAATTGTGACGCAAAAAAATAATAGTGAAATGCGAATTCCGTACGCTATAGGTGTTTTTGTTTACAAACATGCCAGCTTACTGTCGCTTACGCTGTGCTTGAAATGACAGGATTGAGAAAATAAGTGTTCCCTGCTTTGAGAGTTAACAGAGAAATCTCCAATGTTTGAAATTTCTCTACCACAGCCTAAAGGTAGGGGAAGATTCTATCAATCCCAGATTTGTCTGTGTTAATATACATTGTAATAACATCATGCTCCTATTCTAAAACTTATCGCTTTCATACATGGTAAATATACATGAACGTGTTATTCTTACCAGATATTTAATCTTCACAACATATACTGATATTTATCTAATTAATTCTTATAACATTGTTGTTGTTTTTCATATCGAAATAAATTAACAAGCTATTTATGTTTAATACGTTGAACAACAAATCATATAATTAAGATAAGTACAAAATATCTAACGTGTTATCATTTAAGGAAACATGTTGTGGACGCTAGCGACCAGGATTTTAGTTCTAGAAGCCATTATGTTGCCGGCACTTGGTTTTATATGTAAAAGGGACTACACAATTTGTGAGACGAGTTTAATAGTGGACTATCGGCTAACCATGACACATCCATTAAAATGGAAAGTATACCCATATCAAGGAAAGCTGTACCAATATAATGTCACAGACCCTGAGGATGCGACACCAATTCCAACAGGAGAGGTCATCACTGCCGATGGGTGGGAGGAAGAACGTCTGGTGATTGTAGCCAATGGCACTCTGCCAGGCCCGCCTATCATTGTATACGAGGGACAGCGACTTGTGGTCCACGTCATCAACAAACTCCACTCGGACACCGTAACGCTACACTGGCATGGCCTACCTCAACATGGTACCCCTGGATGGATGGAGTTGCCTTCATTACACAATGTCCCATTCTGCCAGGTAAAAGCTTCTTATGACTTTATTGCTCGACCCAGAGGGACATATTGGTATCACTCACATGTTGGAACACAACGGACAAAGGGCCTCTATGGAGCTTTGGTGGTTCGAGACCGAAACGATAATATGGCTGAGCATAACATAGTGGTTCAAGGATGGAATCACCACTGGTCTGCAGATATGGATCAAACAATGTTTAAAAACGATGGCATATATGAAAGTCGCGTAAAATGGAAAAATTCCTATTCATTAGATGGTGAATTTTACTCGACACTTCTCTTGACATCAGCTATAATAAATGGTAGAGGGCGTTACTACATCAACTGGGTTACGCAAGAACACAACAACGCCCCTCTCAGTATTTTTAAGGTTCGACAGGGCCAAAAGTACAGATTTCTAGTTATAAATGCAGACAACCTCTATCCTTTCCGAATATCAGTAGACAATCACAACATCAGTCTCGTGGCAACGGACGGATATGATATTCGGCCCATTCTCGCTGAGTCTTTCGTCATTCAAGCTTGGGAACGGTACGACTTTGTACTGACAGCAGATCAAGCTATTAAGAACTACCGGATCCGAGCACGTACTTTAGAAATTGAAGCGGATCGGATTCATAGGGCAGATGCCATATTGAGGTATGAAAAAGCAGAAGATGATGAACCTGTAAGTTTCCCCAGGCCTTGTTCCGTTGATAGCAAATGTCTTGTCGTTAACTGGCCTTTCCCGTACTTTCCGGAAGATGCTTTTATAGACTGCCTGCAGGTTGACAATATTGAAGCGTTTGAAATCAATGACCCTGTACCCTTGGCGTCTGATGGTCGATTCAGAGAATATTTTCTTAATTTTGCATTTCCTGGGATAGATGGGTACGGACCGTCTTCTGTGAATGGACGAAGGTTCGAACTACCGCCCGTGTCGGCACTGACACAGCCCCGCGAGATAGAGTCCGGGTGTGATAGGACAGAATGTGGCGAGGAGAAGGTGTGTGAGTGTACCCACACTCTATCATTGGATTACGGCGATGTCGTGCAGTTAGTTATAATGAGCATGGGTAAAGGTGCCGGGGGTTTTCATCCCATTCACCTCCACGGATATTCCTTCTACGTACTAAAAGTAGTTTTCGGTAATTACGACAGTACGACCGGACATTATATAGGTCCCAATACCGACGATATCAATTGCAATGGTAATGGTAACCATACAACTAGTTTATGTAACGCTGCAATGTGGAGGAACCAATCATGGGGCGGAGATAATATCCCGGGTTTAAACCTCCTTAACCCCCCGCGGAAGGATACAATTCTCGTGCCTGCTGGCGGATATGCAGTGATTAGGATTTAAGCCGACAATCCTGATCTCTGGATTCTTCATTGTCACATGCAGGTTCACAACGTCGGTGGAATGGCTATTCTCCTCAACAGCTCTTATGACCGAATACCAAAGCCACCTAAGCACTTCCCGATCTGCCACAATTTCCCGCGTACAACTTTTACTGAAGAGGATAAAAAGTGTACCTTAACGTCATCACAGAAAGGTGCGTACACAACTAATCGCAACCAAATCTGCATGGTATGCGCATTGATCAAGGTTTTTATAAGAGAGGTTCTATAAACTTAAAGAAAGAACATTTCTTCTGTTATAAAATCAGTTAGTCTTTGGCGGGTTTACGGAAGAGATTTTAAGTTTGCGCTCCGTCAGTTAGTCAGTCAGTCCACAAATCTCATTGTTCAGGAAATATCCTATATTTCATGAAGTAGTTCAGTTTCAGTTGTCAATGTGTTTTGATGTGAGTACAGTGTTAAACTATATAACTATATTTAGTTTATTTTGCATCACTTTATTCGGGACCTACTTCATATACTGTTACTTACAAACTCCAAATTGTGTATACGTGTTCAGGTTGAAAATGTGGAATATAGATGACTAAAATCGGGTTCAGTGTCCCGCCATTGAGAGTTATGGACATTTGTTTCGTTTTTTACCAAAGTCGTCCAGAATACTCCCCTTCATGTGTTCTTGTAATTAGTCACCAAATCAAACGAACTGCGGTATTATAATATTGTTTCTTACTGTATTAGATCAGTTGTGGTTACTTCCCTTGTATGGCTTCTTACAAACTTAGGTTTTGGTAGAAATTGGTGATTTTTTGACGCTATTAAATTTGAATCAAGTCTGAAATATATTAAGTGTGGCATGTATTAAGACATGTCCAAGAGTGGGAATAAATGTATTCATATATAGCAAAATTTGCGTCCACTAAATTTAAGGATACATAAGTATATATTTAACGTTTAGATATGCTGCCTTAATCGTGGTCAGCCAATACCTTAATTAAAGCATAATATAAAGCACAACCAAATATACATATGTTTATTTTTTTAATGGGCACGCAATGATATAATTTTTATAAGATGAGTGGACTTAATTAAACAAACCATATCTCACGAAGAATTATTTTCAACATGTGGGCAAACTGATAAACATGTGATACACATCTTTAATCAATTAGTTTGGTACCAATGATAACAAGGTCAGTGCGATATATCATATTAAAATGTTATTTAACAACACTTACTCGTATAGTAATTTGTATTTGTTTCAGATGGCCACACGATCAAGGTATTTTGGATAACAGTGACTCTCCTTGGAGCTTTAATCATTTTCATGGCGGCCTACATAATCTATCTTCGGGCAAAATGCACGTACTCTCGTGCAGACCAGCAACACGGGCAAATGTAAAAACTTCTATCGATATCATGAAATACGTCATATTCGGGGACATTTTACTGTAACTTGATAATAAACGTCACAATGTTAAATATGACAAAAATAATCTGACCTTTTAGTCTCGATATATAAAACTGCAATAGCTGCAGAAATTTCAACACAACGGTAAAAATATACAATACGTTCATATGGTAACATCAAATTTTATTAATAGGCAGTGATGAGGACATGTGTTGTGAGGTAGGCATTGATATTTATGTAACCTTTCTACATCATCATTTTTTTTTATTAAATATTCTACATTTTCTTTTGGGGGGGGGGGGGGGGGGGATGAACCAGGTATCCGGCAGCACCAGTTTAAGTAACCCCAGCACAGGAAGAGGCTACACCTCCAGAATGTAAGGGGCCAATTAGAGAACTCTTTGTAATTAGGAGATATATTTCCACATAGTGTTTGCTTCGGGAACGTCTCAAAATGTGTTTTAAAAAGATATTTAATAATATTTCATGTGACCAGATATTCGTCGTTTAATGGGTACAAACTCGACCATTTGGACAATATACGGAGTCATCGACAGACCGCATGGATGGTATGGACAGACCTGACATTGACTCAACCATGGATACCTAAGGGATGGACAGGCCTGACATTGACTCAACAATAACGACTCAAGGTTTGGACAGACCTAACACTAACTCAATTGAACGTTAGAAACGACTAGTAAAGTTTAAGACCATTCTAATAAATTTGTCTCAGTTTAAAATGATTGTATTGTCGAAAACAATATTGTGGGATTACGCACAAGTTATCAAGTACTATATGCTTATTATTTAATTTGGAACATACAATTGGATATATAAATATACCCAGTGGTAGGAGGAAACGTAGATAGGGAATGTGATAAGAGGAGCAAGCTAGTATACAACCAAGAGTGCAAGATATAAAGTGATGGACATAAGTAAATACATTTGAATTTTCCTGCATCGAAAAGTTATTTTCTTTGTGGTTAGAAGTTTACTGGTAAATCATTAATAGCTGAACATATGCCAGTGTTGTTCCATTTATCTATTGCACTATATAGGAGCGTGTCTTCATTTGAGTGTCTACAAACACCAACAGCTGAGCGTATAAGATTAGTTTTAAAGTGATCAGCAGTAAGAGAGCATATGATTTTTTAATGTACTTCAAAATCATCAACAAAAACTTAACTGTAATTTATGTCAGCAAAAACTTAAAACCCAAACATTGACCACGACTACCACTGTGGTTTCAAAACCAAACATAGACAACGACTACCACAGTGGTTTCAAAACCAAACGTAGACCACGACTACCACTGTGGTTTTAAAACCAAACATACACCACAACTATCGCTGTTGTTTTAAAACTAAACGTAGATCACAACTAACACTGTGGTTTTAAAACCAAACGTAGACCACAACTAACACTGTGGTTTTAAAACCAAACGTAGACCAAAACTACCACTGTGGTTTTAAAACCAAACGTAGACCACAACTATCACTGTTGTTTTAAAACCAAACATACACCACAACTATCACTATGGTTTTAAAACCAAATATACACCACGACTATCACTATGGTTTCAAAACTAAACATAGACCACAACTATCACTGGGGTTTTAAAACCAAACATACACCACAGCTATCACTATGGTTTCAAAACCAAATATACACCACGACTATTACTGTGGTTTTAAAACCAAACATAGACCACAACTACCACCGTTGTTTTAAAACCAAACGTAGACCACAGCTATCACTGTTGTTTTTAAACCAAAGGTAGACCACAACTATCACTTTGGTTTTAAAACCAAATATACACCACGGTTATCACTATGGTTTTAAAACCAAACGTAGCCCACAACTACCACTGTGGTTTTAAAACCAAACGTATATCACAACTATCCCTGTGGTTTTAAAACCAAACGTAGACCACAACTATCACTGTGGTTTTAAAACCAAACGTAGATCACAACTATCACTGTTGTTTTAAAACCAAACATACACCACAACTACCACTGTGGTTTTAAAACCAAACGTAGATCACAACCATCACTGTGGTTTTAAAACCAAACATACACCACAACTACCACTGTGGTTTTAAAATCAAACGTAGGCCACAACAACCACTATGGTTTTAAAACCAATCGTAGATCACAACTACCACTGTGGTTTTAAAACCAAACGTAGACCAAAACTACGACTGTGGTTTTCAAACCAAACATAGACCACAAATATCACTGTTGTTTTAAAACCAAAATACACCACGACTATCACTATGGTTTCAAAACCAAAAATAGACCACAACAACCACTATGGTTTAAAAACCAATCATAGATCACAACTACCACTGTGGTTTTAAAACCAAACGTAGACCACAACTATCGCTGTTGTTTTAAAACCAAACGTAGACCACAACTAACACTGTGGTTTTAAAACCAAACGTAGACCAAAACTACGACTGTGGTTTTCAAACCAAACATACACCACAAATATCACTGTTGTTTTAAAACCAAAATACACCACGACTATCACTATGGTTTCAAAACCAAACGTAGACCACGACTACCACTGTGGATTTAAAACCAAACGTAGACCACAGCTATCACTTTGGTTTTAAAACCAAACATACACCACGACTATCACTATGGTTTTAAAACCAAACATAGACCACAACTATCACTGTAGTTTCAAAACCAAACGTAGACCACGACTACCACTGTGGATTTAAAACCAAACGTAGACCACAACTATTACTGTGGTTTAAAAACCAAACGTAGACCACAACTACCACTGTTGTTTTAAAACCAAACATACACCACAACTACCACTGTGGTTTTAAAATCAAACGTAGGCCACAACTACCACTGTGGTTTTAAAACCAAACGTAGATCACAACTACCACTCCGCTTTTAAAACCAAACGTGGACCACAACTATCGCTGTTGTTTTAAAACCAAACGTAGACCACAACTAACACTGTGGTTTTAAAACCAAATGTAGACCAAAACTGCGACTGTGGTTTTAAAACCAAACGTAGACCACAATTATCGCTGTTGTTTTAAAACCAAACATTGACCACAACTACCAATGTGCTTTTAAACCCGAACGTAGATCACAACTATAACTGTGGTTTTAAAACCAAACGTAGATCACAACTACCACTGTGGTTTTAAAACCAAACGTAGACCACAACTACCACTGTGGTTTTAAAACCAAACATAGATCACAACTATCACTGTGGTTTTAAAACCAAACGTAGACCACAACTGCCACTGGGCTTTTAAACCCGAACGTAGACCACGACTCTCGCTGTTGTTTTAACACCAAACGTAGATCACAACTCCCAGTGTGATTCTAAAGATTAACCATGCACAGCATTCGCAAGCCATATCTTAATTTACTATCTTCGTTTAGTTGTTGTAGGAGAAATCTAGACAGTTCAATTAATATAGAATGAAATATATTACTCTATCTTCAAATGCTAAATAGCGACATTTCCCATTACGTTATCGCTGTAGACGTCTTATTTACATGTATGCTTACTATCTTTATTTCGACGTAGTGTTATTTTAGATTTATTCGTTTATATTT